GGTTCATCCCAATAGCGCAGAGGAAAAAAAAAAAGATTTGTTCCAGAAGGAAAATGCACGAGCCGGGCGTGGCGGCGCACACCTGTAATCCCAGCACTCGGGAGGCTGAGGCAGGAGAATTGTTGCGAGTTCGAGACCAGCCTGGGCTACAAAGTGAGCTCAAGGCCAGCCTGAACTGCGTAGCAAGACCCTGTCTCAAAAGGACAAAAAAAGAAAAAAAAAAGGAAAATACATTTCTTCAAATTAATTCAAAATTTAACTCTTTTTAAATTGTGGGGACTTGAAAGAAGGACATCTTAAGGATATAATCTAGTTATTTCCCGACAATCCTCTAAATCTCTTAGGTCATTCTGCCAAGTGACTATAACACTCAGTGCTGCTGGAATCCGTAATGGAGGACGGTACTACTAAACTCTTTCCCATCACTATGCGTTGAATAGGAAAACGTCTTTGATTTAGAGACTATCACACCCATTTTACGGATGAGGAAGTCTGACTCCTTAAGACCGTCCCTCAAAGGAAACCACCGGGTCTTGTGAACCAGAATTTGCACCGCAAAGTATGTGCTTAACTGCTCGACAAGAACCCCAGAGCTAGCAAAAGGCAGTGGAGGAGTCCAGTCACGGGCTCTGGAAAAGCAAATCCGCAAGCCCTCCAGAAGCAGCAGCTCCTGGGCACTCCAGTCCTAAGGGAGTCCTCCGCCCCAGGATTTCCCTCCTCCCGTTCCCACAATGCCTCCCAGGAGCCAGTCAGCAGACAAGAGCCAATCTCCGGGGCCCCTAAGGGCCACAGGGCTGCAAAACCCGGCCTGGCTCCCGCCCGCCCAGTTAAAAGTGGAGCGGGGCCTCCGGGGCGGAGCCGGGATAGGAAGAGTGAAAGGGGACAAGGGCCAAGCGGACAAGGGGGCGTTGGCGTAGCGAGGCATTATCTGAAGCCATAAACTCTGGGTTTAACAGGACGCGAACCCGGGCGGGGCGTGCAACGCCCGCAGACTTTGAATTGTGCATGGGCCTTCCTGCAGCCAGGCCTGGGCGCCCCGAGCACGCCCAAGTGGGGTGCGTCCGGGAAACGACGACCCCGCCCACACCGCGGCCGGCCGGCCGGCCAGGGGCCACATCGTGACTCAGCCAGGCGCCCCCACGCTCAGGCCTTGGGGCGCCAAAGGCCTCGATCAATATTTGTTGTTTGAATCAATTCCTACTTCCTTCTCCTACAATCCTATCAAACCTCCACTTTTTACTAAAAAGTTGGAGCACAGAGGAACCTTAGGGGAGCTCTGGGACAGTGCTGGGGCAGAGGGGTGAACCTGCAGGGCCTCGCCTCCCTCCCACCCACCGTCTGGGCGGCCGCCAGGACTCTAGGCTGAAAGCTTTACGGGCGGGGCAGAGTCAAGCTCCGGGTGAGGGTGGTGGAGAGGGAGGAGGCCCCAAGGTTTAGGGTCCCAAGCCATCCAAGAGCCGCTTCTATCCTTTCCCTAGCCCGAACCAAAGTGCACGACAGGAACCAGCCCTGGGCTGTAGGGTGTGTCGCCAGCAAGGTGGGATCCAGCGGGAGCCGGTGGGGCGCCGGCAGGGCAGGCAGGAGACGGGGCAGACCCTCACCTTGTCGATGAAGGAGGCGAACTTGTTGTTGAGGTTCTTGATCTGCTCCTTCTCCTGAATGCGCACGGCCTGGATGTTGGGGTCCACCTCCAGGTTCAGGGGGTTCAGCAGGCTCTGGTTCACCTGGACGGCTGTGATGCCCCCCACACCACCAGCCCCGCCATAGCCGCCCAGCCCCAGGCCGCCCCGAAAGCTGCCGCTGCTGCCCATTCGAGAGAAGCTGGAGGAGCTGATGCGGGAAGCGGGCCCGCTGGTGTAGGAGAGGCTGCTGAAGGCCCGGGGGCCGGAGGTGGACACCTTGTAGGACTTCTGGGTCACCCTTATGGACATGGTGGAGGCTGAGGTGGAGGCAGGCGAGCTGAAGACGAAGATTCAAGAAGGAGCCGGGCAGCTGCTTCTGGAAGATGGGACTGCACCCAGGAAAGGCCCCTTATATAAAACACAGCCCGGAGGCAGGGGAGGGAGGAAGCCTCCTTCCTACCTGAGTGGCTGGGCCCCGAGGGGGCTGGGCCTAACCCGACACCTGCCACCTGCAGGCAGGGCTCAGGCGAGGGCAGCAGAGAGCTGCTCCCACCGAGGAGCCCACTGCGGCACCACCCTAGAAGCCCAGGAAGCTGGAAGGAATGCGCCTGGCCTTGCGGAGACGTGCCTGGGGTCGCCCAGCCAGCGGAACTGGAACTCCCTATCCTGAGAAATAACCTAAGGACCGGGAAACCTGGCAGGGAGAGGTGCCTAGGGTCCTTTTGGGCGTTTTCTCAGCAGCCAGCAACCCCCAAAGACACTCTCTTGTATGAGTGAGAGTCCATCCAGGCTGGAGGGCAGGCCTCCTGATTCCTAAGCCTTGGATCTGATTTCAGCTGTTTGTCACCTCTGCCCAGGTTACTGCTGTGCCCCAGCACCTGGTACAGTGCTCGAGGGGACTGGGTAAATAGATATTCGTGGAATGAATGAATGAATGCATGCATGCATGAACGTACACACATACGCACACTTACTATCTTCCTTTGGGTCTGTAGGGGGGAGATAAACAGAGATCCAACCCAGCACTTTTCCTAGATACAACTCGGTGCTCTCTTTTCTTCCCAAGATCCCAGGGTTCGGGCTGGGGATATAGCTCAGAGGAGCAGCACCTGCCTAGCAAGCACAAGGTCCTGAGTTCGATTCCCAGTACAAAAAAAATCAAAAACACCAAGATCCCAGGGTTCTCCAGGCCAGGTTGACACCACAGGCCTTTCTGAAGGGGACAGAGAAGGAAAAGTGGGGGTGAGGCATTGGCGGTCTTCACTGTTCTCCCAGTTCCTTGGGGGGAGTCATTCCCATTGCAACAAATGGATGATTCTCAAGAAGTAAGACAAGGTGATTGAGGTGGAGCAGCTTGCGATGGCACAGCTGTGAGTCATTTGAAACGATCTGGACCTGCTTTCACTTCCCAGGCCCCCCACTGGCCAAAGAAGGTGGGGGAAGCGCCCCTGCACCTGTCTCCGGGCCCCATTATCCCAGTGAGTCAGGAGAGCAGGTTGGGGCAGGGCAAGCACCTGCAGGAGGCTGGAGAGTGGGGAGTCGAGCAGGGCACTGCCGGGCTGGGCGGGGCTGGGCGGGGCAGCGCGTGGGTGGAAGGCAGGAGGTTTGGGTCCCCAAGGCAGAGATTCCACCTGCAATTATCTGACGGTTAGAGCGGGTTCTCTGGAAGGTACTGCAGGGCATGATGTGGGGTGTGGATGGATCTTAACTGGGGAGCACAGCAAATGACAGTTACCAGCTCCCCAGGGGAAAGGTGCAGGTGACACAGCCCCGAGCCCAGGGAAAGCGGCGCGCACCTACTAGGAAGACAGACACAGTATGAGGTCCCTCCCATTCTTCTCCGGGAGTGACAGCAGGGCCCCAGAAAGACAAAGGATCCCTACCAGGGGCATAGAGAAGCCCCAAACCCCCTCCTAGAGGCCAACAGGAGTCCAGAAAGGCAACGGATAAGCTCCCTTCACAGCACACACACAGCCGTACAACTCCAGAGACCCCGGAGGACACAAGGGCCACACCCCTCCCTCCCCTCCCCACTTACTCCTCCGCCCCGGGCCTGGCCTCCAGACCAGCCGGGCAGAGAGAAGTCCACTCACTACCTATTCACACCAGGCCCCCTTCCAGACCCTTTAAACAATGCTTCATTTTTGGAAGACTGATTTGAACGCATGCCACCCCTACTCCAGCAAACACCCACGCCCAGCCAGAGCCAGAGCCTTCTTCCCCAAGACCAGAGGGCGGGAGCGTGGGCCCGAGGCCAAATGGGGACGGAGAAGGCGAAGCAGGGAGGGTGGGGCTGGTCAGACAGGTATGGCAGCCCTGGAGAGGGGTGGCCACCAGCTCTCCCTTTCTCCTTTCTCCCCCACACTGCTGTTGGATGGGGTCCAGGGGCTCAGAGAGGGGGATTATATCCTACAACCTGATGTAGGCAGTGTGAGGACCACAAAATAGCGACCCTGCCTGACACCTCAGAACCTGGTTCTCCGGCTCTGGGAGTGTCTGTTATTGAAGGTAAGGACAAAGGGGACTGCAGGAAGGACCTTTGTGAGCTAGCTAGGCATTGTGGCGCACACCTGTAATCCCAGCACTCGGAAGACTGAGACAGGAGGATCATTGCAAGTTCGAGACTAGCCTGGGCTACAAAGTGAGCTCAAGGCCAACCTGAATTGCACAGCGAGACCCTGTCTCAAAAAGACCAAAAAAAAAAATAATAATAACCTTTGTGATGTGCAGGCTGCAGTGCTTCCCCTGAGCTCACCCAGCGGAATCCCTCTTTCTTTGGGCAGCCCGAAACAATCCTGGACCAGAGACAGTTGCATCTTACTTGTCAGTGCCCCGTAGCCCAGAGACCCCAGAGAGCCCCTCCCTAGACACCCCACGCCCAACTTTGTGCAGAAGAAACCAGATCTGCCACCTGTGATGGCCCCTGCTAGGACTTGGGGGCAGAGGCAAAAGGGGCTGGCCCCGGCCTAGGGCCAAGCAGTGACAAAGAACCGGTCTAAGGCGGCCGCAGCTACAACTCCTTGTAAGGCTGTCTCTGGCCATTGCGCTCTGCAAGCTGCTGCCTGCTCAACAAAAGGGACTGTGTTTGTGGTGAGGTGACTATGCCCGTCCCAGACTGCTCTGCCCCAAACCGCTTTTCCTGGAGAGCTCTATGGGGAAGGAGGAGACATGTAAGCACCAGCCCCCTGTGCCTGATGGCTCCAGATGACTCCAAGGAGGCCCCAAGACCCTGGGCAGCTGAGTCAAGGCTGGGGGTCGAGGTCAGTAGGCAGGGTATTATCTTCACTCAAAATCAATGAATTCTTCACAGCAATCGCCTAATAGAGAACTAGAGGCTGGGCCTGCCGTTGCCCAGTGTGTAACTAAAAGCAGGATAGAGCTTGGTACCTCTGCCTTCATTCTCCTTTATTACTTTAAAACTGTGGGTGAGATCCCCACTCCGCTTTGCACGCAGGCATGTTTATCACTAAGGAGTGCCTGTCATACAAGGTTTATTAGCCCTAAATTTACCTAGCCTATCTCATCCCCCTTCAAGACTGAGGACACCAAGATAAGAGTAACTAAAGTAATTTTCAGGATTTGCAGGGGCATCGAATTGCCCATGTTTTACAACGTCCGGTACCAGATCCTTGGAAGAATGCCTAGAAGTCTCCGGCCATTGTCCCAGTCCTGCAAGCACCTTGGATGCCAGGAGAGCTTCCCAGAACACCCCTTGATGAGGTCACCAACCAGAAGCTGTCATCTCAAGTCAGGAACCAGACAGGCGCCCTCAGTAGCTCTCCCAGAACCTTGCAGAACCAGTCCTGAGATGCCAATCAACCAGGATTACCTGTGCTGCCAGCTCTGCAAATCCCCCAGCTAGGCAAACCCCCAACCCTTGCCTTTGTGCGCCTTTTCTATAAAACTGCAAAGCTTCTGTCAGCACCAACACAGCCATGCTGATTAAAGCTGCTTTATTTTGCCTTTACCTCTGCTGTCTCTTTGATCAGCGTTAGAGGAAGGAGCTCCTCTTGTCTTTCTTCTTTTTTTTTTTTTTTTTTTTTTTTTTTTGCAGTTCAGGCTGGTCTCGACCTCGCAAGGATCCTCCTGCCTCAACCTCCCAAGTGCTGGGATTACAGGCATGCGCCACGACGCCCGGCCTCCAAGCCTTGTCTGTTGGGACACCCAGAGCCCGAGCTTTTGCCCTAAAACTCTGGTACGAGTTCGGGCTGACTCCATGATCCCACATCACAGCAGCACGTTCGGAACAGGCAGGGTGGGAACAAGCCAAAGGGCCCCAGCTGAGAACTAGATGGGCTCCCTGTGAGAGCCACATCCTGGAATGCTGTTCACAAGGATAAGGAATGAACAAGGGTGAGAAGAAGGGGAAGTAAAAAGCTTAAGGTATTGGCAGGGCTGACCTGAGACCCCAGGTCTCCTCTTGCAAACAATGGGAAACAATAGGTCGCTCCTGGTAAACAGGAAGTAAGGGCAACAAAAAAATGTAACACCGGACCTGACACCAACTCTGTGTGTCAACCTGCACTGATTGTCCTTACAGCTTTGAACTCAAACAATTCATCCAGAGTCTTTGAAATTCTGACCCCAATCCTGAAACCCTATATACTCAGATCCCCTCCAGATATTCGCTGATATCCCTCTGATGTCAGCCTGCCTGTATGTAGGTAAATCAAATCCGATCTTTCCCTCAGCCTCGGTCTCTGGCTGTTTCCTCATGGTGCCGTTACCTATCAGGTATGTTACGAATAAGTACCCATTCTCCACAGTGAACGTAATGCTATGTATTGCAAAACATACTAATAAAATATTTTAATTTTTTAAAAACTGGAGGTGGTGGCACACGTCTATAATCCCAGCACTTGGGAGGTTGAGGCATGAGGAGTGCCGCAAGTTTGAGGCCAGCCTGGGCTACAAAGTGAGCTCAAGCCCAGCCTGAACTGCATAACGAGACCCTGTCTCAAAAAGAAAAAAAAAAAAAAAAAAAGAGGAATGAAGCCCGGCATGGTGACACACATGTAATCATACCAACACTTGGGAGGCTGAGGCAAGAGGATTCCAAGTTTTGAGTTCTGCCTGGGCAACCTAGCAAGATCCCATCTCAAAATAAAAGGGCTGGGGCCATAGCTTAGTGTGAAGACCCTGGTTTCAATTCCCAGTACCACAGAAAGGTGTATGGGGTGGGGGGCTGAAGCAGTGATGAGAACAGTATGCTGAGTAAAGGGTGCCAATCACAGGATGCCACATATCATGTGAGTCTATTTCTAGGAAATGCCCACAGCCGGCAAATGCACAGGGCAGAATGTACAGTAGTGATCACCCAGGCTGGGCCAAGAAGCCTGGATACTAAAAGGTACAGGGTTTCTACGTTTGGCGGTAGTGAACTTGCCCGAGTTTATAAACATCCTAAAAACCACGGAAATGTACACCTTACATGGCCGAATTGCGG